GGGGGGGGGGGCAACACACGCACCGCCCCATGAGGCCTCGGCGACGAGGGCCGGGTCGTGGGCCCGGGGCGCGGGGCCCGACAGCTGCGGCCCCAGGGCCGCCGGGAGCCGGACCCGGTCGAAGAGCTTCAGCAGCATGTCTGGCGAGAGGGAGCCCAGCGCACATGGCCGGGGAGAATGGGTCAGTAGCGGGCCTTGCGAGTGGCGGCCAGGCCGCGATTGTGGGGGGGGGGGGGGGGGGGGGGGGGGGGGGGGGGGGGGGGGGGGGGGGGGGGGGGGGGGGGGGGGGGGGGGCAGCTCCCGCCGGACCCCGAGCAGCGGCGTACCGAGCAGGGTGAAGGCGTGTGCCGGGGGCGTGGCAAGCGGGTCGGCCGCGCCGGCGGCCAATAGGCGGCGCTGGGTGGCGGTCAGCGCCGGAGGGGCCGGCGCTGCTGGGGTTTGAAGCTGGAGGAGGCGTGCGCCGAGGGGAGTGTGCAGGAGCAGGTCCCCAAAGTCCAGAGTGGCAGGGGCGGCGGCGGCGGCGGCGGCGGCGGCGCCCCGCGCGGATGGACGGAGGTGGGCGGCCGCCCGGGCGAAGTGCAGCGGGGCCGGGCCCGCCGCGCAGGCCTGCATCGTGGACAGGGCTCGGTCCCGGCGCCAGGCGGCAAACTCGACAAAGGCCCGCCACTGGGCCAGCACCCGGGCGGCCAAGGCCCGACGCCGGGCGATGGCCCGGGCCCAGGCATCAAGGGACCGGCGGAGGAGGCGCCGCTGCCGGACGAGGGCGCGCCACTGGCGCACGGCTCGCCGGGCCAGCACGTCGCGCCGGGCGGCCAGCGCCCGCGCGCGATACGCCGCCAGCTCCTCCGGCGACAGGGCTGGCTCCTTCGGGGGCGGGGGCGCTGGCGCCGAGGCAGCCGGGCCCCGCCGGCGGAAGAGGAATTCCCCCGGCGGGGTGTCGTCCTCCGGCCGGGGCGATTCCGCGATCGGGCGCTTCGGCTGCCGGGCCGGCGGCTGCGAGTGCGCCTCAGGCGGCTGGGACCGTGGCAACGGGGGCCGCGGCTGCAACTGCGGCTGCTGTAGCTGCGGCTGTGGCTGGAGGGTGGGCGGCCGGTCGGTACGCGCGGTGGCCGGCTGCGGCGCGAAGACGAACCCCGTGGCCGAGGCCGTCACCGGGGCGGGGCCAAAGCCAAATGGATGCGAGGCAGCCGAGTCGGGGCCGGCAGTCGGCCGGGCAGCCGGCTGAGTCTGGCGGGCGGCCGGCAGCTCGGGCATGAAGGATGCCACCGGGCCGCCGGCGGCGGCGGCGGCGGCGGCGACGACGGCGGTGGGAGCCAAAAAGGGCGCCCGGGTGGCCGGCGTCGCGGAGCTGGCGGAGGGGCCGGGCGGTGCGGCCGCGGGGGCCGGGGGAAATGCGGGGCTCGATGCGACGGGAGCCTTGATGCCTGGGCCGGAGCCAAAGACAAAGGGGCTGGGTGCTTCGGCCTTGACCGGGGCCATGGCGGCCGCCGGGCCCGGGCTGCCCGGCCCAACGGAAAAGGGCGACAAGGTGGTGCCCAGCTCCGGCGAGCCGGCCCCCGCCGAGGGCCGGGCCATGGGCATGCTGCTGCTGCTGCTGCTGCTGCTGCTGCTGCTGCTGCTGCTGCTGCTGCCAAACGGCGTGTCACCCGGGCTGAAGGGGGCCGGCGGCTGGGCCCCGGTGGTCGAGGTAGAGGCGGGCTCCCGGCGCGACGACACGGTGCCTGCCGATGACCCAGCGTGTGGCGGGATTTGCTGGCGGAACTTTTGGGACAGGGTGCGCACGTTGGCGGCCGGGGGCGCGGGCCCGGTGGCGGAGGCGCCTGCCAGGGCCGCACCGCCGCCGGGCGGGTCCCCGTCCGGCAGAGTGAGCCCCCCCAAGCGGCGGGACCTGCTGGCACGCTCGGGCCTGGGGGCATTTTCCGACGCCGGGACATAGGGCTCCGGCCGGATGGTCGGATCGTCGATGGCCGGCGGGGCGACCGGCAGCGACCGGATGGACTGGCCCTCGATCAGCACCGACAGCGGCTGGGCCTGGAGCAGGCCCATGGTGGTCGAGGTGTGCCAGGACCTCATATTGGCCAGAGTGGGGCCTGGCAGATGCGAGCAGGACCGGGGTCAAGTCAGAGATGAGGCCGGTGGAGGACTGTCGCCCGCGGGGCGGGGGGGGGGCGGGGCGGCGCATGCGGGTACTGGGCGCAAGTTGCAGAGAACGGCCCATGGCACGGACCTGGGGTATAAACAACCTGCAGCTGGGGGATTTCCGCCACCAAGCCGGAATACGTGGCCGGGAGGAAGTCCGCCGGGATGATGGCCGGCAGGGTCATGGCACTGGCGTCCGCCGGGGAAACCCGCCGAATGGTGTAGCCGAGAGTGGCCAGGAAGTGGCAGCACTCGGCCGGGCTGGCGAAGCAGTAGAACCCGGCCAGCACCTCCACCGGAATGAGGGTCACCTTGGGGGCGGGCTGCTGGCCGTAGAAGCTCGGCAGGGGGGAGGTGGTATTGATGGCGACGTCACTCGGACCGTTGCTGCGACAGCGGCTGAGGAAGTGGCTGAGGGTGCGCAGGTGGTCGAAGCGCGCGCGTGGCAGGAACTGGCCGCGCCAAGCCGGGGAGGGGCCGGGCAGGGGCCAGCAGGTCAGCCGAGGGCGACAAAAAAAGGGGGAGCCGGAGGGACAAAGTGACAAGCGAGACGGGAGGGTGGCAAATGGGAGAGGAGCAGGCGAAGAAGAGCCACGAGCAGGCGAAGAAGAGCCACGAGCAGGCGGGGCAACGTACACGCATCATCAGCACCGCCTGGAAGTAGGGCGCCGCGCGGAAGTGGTTGAGCATGGAAGCCGCATCGCCGGCCGCCTGGGCGTAGGTGAAGGCAATGGACCGCTTGACCAGCGGGTGGGAAAGCAGCCGATCCGGCACCAGGGGGATGATGTTCTGGCGAGCGGTAGACCCCATAGACAGGAGCAATGCCGGCACATGCGCGGAATCAGGGTCAGGGGCGCGGTGGCAGGGGGCGGCGCTCGCAGCCGAGCCGGCCAGCGGGTGGGCAGGGAGGCAAACGTACATCGGGCAGGCCGTAGAGGATCAGAAGGGCCTTGAACTCGCCCTCACAGCGGAGCAGCGGGTCGTCATCGGCCGCCACACGGCCCTCGCCACTGACCAGCGTCCGGTAGGCGGCATACCAGTCGTCCAGCTGCGCCAGCGAGGAGGACAGGAGCTGGGGCCAGGGGAGGGGGGAATGTCAGCGCCAGCGGGCCGCGCAGCACGGGCACGCGCAGCCCCCGGGGCGGGCCGGGGCGCGAGCGGGGAAGGGGGGGTGGGGGGGGGGGGGGGGGAGGGCCCAGACGCACGGAATTGATCTTGGACCGGTCGGCCGTCAGGGTCGGCTCGATGGAGGGCGTCTGCGACAGGTGGAACACCAGGACCAGGATGCGGGTGGCCCGTTCGAGGGCCGGGATGGTGACGGCCAGGCTGCCCCGGGTCTGAGCCAGGGAGGAGCCCCCGCCGGGCGGGCAGTTGGTGCAGGGCACCTGCGTGTGGATGAGGGCATTGACCAGGGCCCGGACGCGATAGAACACATAGTCCAGGAACTCCACCAGGTAGAAGTTGCACCGGGCCAGCAGGGAGTCCACCTCGGCCGGGGGGGTCCCCGGCGGGAGGTACGGGTTGCCCGGGGCCGCCATGTTGAAGGGCAGCGAGCGGGCCGTGATGGCCAGGTCATCGGCCGGAGGCAGGTGCTCCAGCGGGCCGGCCGGCCCGTTGATCAGGAGCTCCTGCTGCTGGCCTGGACGCACGGTGACCGGCAGATCCACCACGCACGAGGACAGATAATCGGCCGAGAGGGCCAGCCCGCGCAGGGTGCGCGGGTCGCAGCTCACCTTCCCGGCCGCCGACCGGGAGTAGGTCTCCATGGCCTGGTCGTATGTCCGGGCGTTGAGCTGCCCGGCCGGCGAGAAGAGGGCCAGCTTCGGGGGGGGCGGAGGGGGGGGGGGCGAGGGCCAACCGCCCGGCGGCAGGGGGTCAGCGAGGGCGCGTCTGGCGGTGGCAAGGGTCAAAAGGAGGAGCCAGGCCGAGGGCGCACCGGGATCTCGAAGTTACTGAGCTGCGGCATCTGCTCCAGCGAAAGGCCGGCCATGCCGTCGGTGGCCGCCGGCCGGCCCGAAGTCGGGTGCCGGTGGGGCAAGGCTGGCGGTGGGATCCGCTGTGATGAGGTGGTGGCCGCCGGCGATGCAGTGGCGCCCGGCCTGAGAGAAGCAGCAGGGGCGGCAGCAGCAGCAGCAGGAGTCCCGGTGGGCGAACTGACTGCCGGAGCAACGGCAGGAGCGGGAAGGCTCGGGCTTCTGGCTGGATTACGTGCGTGCGTGCGTGCGTGTGTGGCCATGTGTGCGCAAGCAGGCGGGGGGGGAAGAAGGAGGGTGAGCTGCGGGCGACGGCTGACCGGAGCGGGGGCGCATCAGAACCGAGGACAATCGGCGAGGGGCGCACGCTGGAAGTGGAGTTGCACCCGTTGGACCGGGGGGGGAGGCGATGAGGACGGGGGGGCCTGCGTGGCTGCCGGGGCGGGGACCATGGCCGGCGGGCCGGTCGAGCTGCCTGGCAGAGCCGCGGCCGGGGCTTGCGGCGCCGAGCCGAAGGCCCCGAAGGCAGCCGGACCGGAGCTTACCGCCGCGATGGCCGCATTGCTTGGGGAGAAGGGCGACGGCTCGGCACCGGTCCCGGGTCCGGCCGAAAGGGACGAGGCCCCAGAGCCAAAGGGACTACCCGGCCGGGGACCGGCTGCCCGGGGGCCGGCCACCATCGCCACGGCCTGATTGACGCCGCCGGCGGGGCCGCCAAAGAACGGCCGCGTGGCGTTCATGCGCGCGTGCGCCTCTGACGGAGGAAGGCCAAGGGGGATGGACCACGCGGGAGGGGCGAGCGGAGGGGGGACAGGCGCGGCGCGCGCGCGCGAGAGCAACAAAGCCGGCGAGGCGGGCGGGCAGGCGGAACAGCGAGCGAGCAGGGAGGAGGTCCGAGGGGGAAGGCGCGAGGCAGGGGGAGGGAGGGAGGGAGGGGGGGGAGTGCCGCGCGCGCAACCTGGCCGGCTACGCCCCGGGTTCCGGGCATGCTTTTCGCATGGGCCATCCTGCCGCCAAGGCCGGTGTGTATGGATTGGCGTCCCTCCCTCGGACACGGAGGAAACCGCGCCCGGCGCATGCGCCCCGCCCCCGGCCCGCCCCCGGCCCGCCCACGGCGCGCCCCCCCCATGCGCGCACGGCTTGCCGGCGGCCAGCCCCCG